AATTCTAAAGGCAGATTCATGTGTTTTTCATATATTTGCAAAGCTCTTTGGGACCACACAGAGCGTTTGCACGTGACAAATTACTTCGTAGCACTAGTAACACACCTGACTCAGAAGCCTAAAAATTTTAAATACTAATCAGATGTTCAGATAAAATTGCTGGTACCAACTGATCATTCCCAGAAATCTTTCTGTTCATGAAGGATGTTTCTGGAAATGATAAATTGTCAGGTGTTTATAAACATAGATTCATCACAAGGATAAAAGGTAACATATTTGCATTTGTGTGTCATCAGACACACATATGACATGTTTCAGGCATAGTTCCTTTCAAATATTGCACTTTGAAATGAAATAAACATGACAAAATTAAACACTAAACTAGGAACAAATGAACTAAGACACTATTCTTTAAGCATCGGATGATTAATATGACCACTGACTTTGAGAAATCTCCAAGTATCATAAACAGAATGCTGAAAGCTGCTTTTTCCAAGCAGATTTCTCATGGCTACAATTTCACTGCTCACAGTATAACTAGGTGCTCAAATTCAGCTCCAGCAGCTTACATTATCAGGAAAATTGATAGGGTTTCTAATTATCTTAACAAACTTCTTTGGTGGTTTCCTGCACCAGACTGTCATCTGTTATGGGGTTTGAGAGAGATTTGATCAACACAACAGCAACTTCTTTCCAACTGCTAAAGAGCTATATCCCATTAATTCTTGTATTTTTAAACTTTTATATATTGCACCACATCTAAAGAAAACAAAAAAGGTACAGATTTCTCAGCCAGAGCTGCTCCAATACTAAGATAGATGGATAGTTAGTATACAAAACATTGTTTCCCTTTCTTCTCCTCCCCAAAATCTAATATTTGCCTTTTTTTATCACCTATAAACAAACAGTAACAGCCAGTCAAATCATTTCTGAAAGCAAGCAAGTCCAGGATACTCATTGCATTCTTTTTTGAAATCTTTGAGCAGTTCTTTGTGCAGGTGTGGTGACCAATCCCTCCCTGAGTGGCCAAGGAGGAAATGGGCATGGGCTGAAGCAGCCGGCACCGAGAGCCCCTCGTGCCAGCACAGCAGGGACACAGCTGCCAGGCACACTTCCAATGCAGCCATGAGCCTGCAATCCTGCAGATCGCAGATTCTGCAGACCTGCACACTTTGCATTAATGGGGATCTGTGGTTCACGTGTCCTCATATAAATTTTGACCAGTCCTACCTCAGGAACACTGTGTGAATATTTAAGAGCCCAGGTGAAGAGCAGCCCAGCAAGATTTTGTCTCAAGAGCCCTAGTGATCACCAGGCATTAGGAGAGTCTGTTATTCTTCAGCACATGAAAAGATTCATCTGGAAGTCCTTCTCTAGTGCCCCCCTGCAGCACAGTTCTCTTTCTGAAAAGACCTTATAATGAACTGGAAATTAATTAAAAAAAGAATGTAGGTTTATTTGTCTCTATCCTTCAGCATTTTTGCTGCAACCAACAACTATGTTTCAGCATTTTTTTGCTGCAAACATAGTTGTGTACAATGTAGACAAACCTTCAAAATTAACCTGAGAAGTTCAGATGTTCAACCATGGCAAGCAAACCACATAAGCAACAATGAAGAATGGTATGTTCAAGCAATAAAGTGTTAAGAGTAATATATAAATATATGTGTCTCTTTAATGAAAGTTTGTCAGGTACATTTTATTTACCAGAATATTTAAAACAAATATCCCTTGATTCTTTATAGCATCTCTTTCTAGTGTTCTAGCAATGAATTCTGTGAATTACAGGGGGTGTGGAAAACAGCTAATGGAGTAATTAATCTAACAGATAAGGGATTAGCCGACCAAGATCTTCTGTGGACATGCTGGTGAATATCATGATCCAAGGGACATTTTCTAAACTTGTGAACCAATTGGACTGCAGTCACAGAAGTGCTATCCAAGGAGTTAGGATGGGAAAACATCATAATGGAGACCCAGGACCTGAAAAATGAGACAAACTGTAGCAACACAGAAGACTGCATCCAGTTTCAAGGAAGAGCAAGGAAAACCTCTGAATAAAAAGCAGAGTAACTTTTTGCACAAGGAACAAAGCACATCTGCCAGCTTCCAAACAGCTATTTTCAGAATAGGTAGAGCACATTTCTACAATAGGTTTTGTTACATTAGGAATATTTTTGTGTACTAGATGCAAATAAAAATTGTCAGTTCTAGACAGCGAAAGATCTGCATATGTGAGCCCAAACTTAAATGGAAAGCTTGTAAACTATACTACTACAGTCATATATAGTTGTTACATGATATAAACTAACACACTAGTATTTTTAGTCTTTCCTTTTCAAGTTAGCACTAATTCAGCAATTGTGTGTCATCACAATATGCATTTCAGCTACTCAACTAAAACTAGACAGATAAAGTCTGAGATCTGAATAACTTATTTGACACACTTTGGTATTGTTTCCATGCTTGTCAGTGTAATTTCCATAACGACAAAGAGAGCAAAGAAACTCCTTTGCAGTACAGAAATTTCTAGTGCTCAGAAAAAAGGAGAAGAGAAAAAATTGTCAGAAAATCCAGCTGCATACTGTGATTGGAGGAAACATAAAGAATATTGAAAGCAAGCTACTGATGTAGCCATGAATTGGACAATTCCAGTAAACCACAGAAAAATACCAGGAGGAGGTACTGACCACTAACAACCAATATCCTGCATTGTAGTGGGTTCAAAACATATTTAACAGCTCAGATTCAATTTCTCAGACCCAAAGTGACGTGCCAGAATATGAGATATCTGAATACACATGGGAGACACTTTGTGTCCTGCTGTAGTGTCTGCACCTTGTTATGCTGAGAAGTACTGTGTACCCTGCTATGGACCATGATGCAAAAAATAAGAAGCCCCCTATACATTTAAAGACAATAAGGCCATTTTTTCTTCTTCTAATTGAATCAATATGTTATTAATACTCCTTGAGCCTGTAAGAAAATACCTCAAGCACCCACACTTGAAGTGGGATGGAACACAATGTACTCATATATAATAGCGTAAGTACTTTAGAACACTTCATGCAGCAAGAGACAAAGAATGTGAAGTACATCATTACAATAATTCATGGTACCCAGCAGTTTTGTTCTAAGTTCCTATACTATGCATATATTTTAAGTTTGTTTGAAAGACATACTTCTGTACTTTGAAGTCTGAAGTGGTATCTGTAAAATATTATACAATGTAATGTACTGCATTGCAACAGAGGTGTTATCAAGATACCAAAAATGAGCTACACTTTTTTGAACCTAACTTTCACAATATAATTAATGAAGGCAGCAGACTGGTATATCTAATAAATCACAACATAGGTCTATATGACTGTCATTACAAAAAAAAAGTAACTGGTAAGGTAAGACCATGATGAAAATACAACTGACTGCTTGGCAGTCTTTCCCAGAGAAATAGAGCTTTCAAAGACAATAAGAATAGGATAAAACAATCCACCTCACTTCAGAGCAAGTGTTGAAATTAAAGTCTATAAGTTATTTCTAGAACAATGTGGAGAACAACTAGTTTTTTATGGGGAGGGAAAAACACATTTAAAAGGCTTCAAGCTTCCATTCTTCCCATCAACATTAGTTTTAATGTGATATTAATACATAAACTTAAATAAATATCCAACCTTATTTTGATTTAAGGGACCTTGGCATTTACACTTAAAGTGAGCAGTTACCCATTAGACATGAAAATTTTTTCAATGCCATATTGTAAATTGTCAACAATTTTGCATTCATAATTTACTATTTTGACACTCATTACCATAATAAAAACACCACTATTTTAAAATTCATATTAAAAGAAATCTTGGCAGTAAGGTGTTAAATGCAGTGCATTGATAACAATGCTGACCAAAGTTCCTCTTGGTTTTGGTTGTTTTGTTTTTTTTTTTTTTTACTATATATTCCTAGGATTTTTCAATTCATTAATGTATCTTAATTTTGTATTAATTTTCACAAATTTCTGGGTCCTATGAAGGAGACTCACTGTACCACAGAACAAAAAAGTTGCTGTCCAAGGTACTGCACAAAGACAAGTGTTCCAATTAATCTCCCAAATGTGTTAAAAATGTTTTCAGATTTATTAGCTGTCTTTAGCAAGCAAGCTAGCCTTGCTGAAATTCCATATTTGATACTGCAGTATCAGTGTTATGCTGTTACTTTCCAGGGCCTCTTCTACTGCATTCCAGTATGATCAGACATTCCAGCACCTGACAATACCCAGTATGTATAATTAAGGACAAACCTGTTCTAGTCTTTGTTACAGACTGATTTTCAGCAGGGCTGAAATACAAGAAAAAGGCTTTGAATTCTACACAGTGCATGAATAAAAGCTACCCTCTAATATAAATCTAGCTCCCATGTACTGTTCTGGCATTCTGCAGAGCAATCGCTAAACGTAATTTTTTCTGCAGTATTCACCTTACATATTCCAGAAGCATAAAGATTCACACATGCATGCAGTACATAGCAAATAGCATCCAGGGTTTAATTGCTGCTTCAAAAAATAATCATAGAGTATAAGAAAATTAAATACTATTTTTGTTTCCTTTGTTATGTTTAATAGGAGAAGCATATTTGTAATTTGCAAGATTAAAAAAAAAATGCAACAGCCAAGAACTGCAGTAAACCTCTCAGAGCTAATAGCAATGTGCAATAATGCTTTCCCACACCATCTTCAAGCAAATGGATTTAATTCACTGCTTAATCAGTCAAATTAACACTAATCCCCATATGGTTAGAAAGGATACTTCTAAACAAACCCAATTTATGGTTTATTTATTTGCAAAGTGTCTTAAAGCTGAGATACCTAGAAGAACTACTGTGTTGTTTCAATCATGCTGACAGAGCTGGTTTCACCTAAGAAATTTTCTCTGCAACTCACAGCATGGCTGACAGCTATCTGCATAGAAAAGCAGCACAGTAACCATTCAAATCATGCAAAAAACACTCACCCAAGAAGATGTAGCAAAGATGAGGATCCAGCTTCCAGACCCCATGAAGCTGAGGGAGCAATCCAGCAGCCTGCTCAGGCCAGCAGTGTCTCTCCTACACTTGACCTAGACTGCCTTACATAATGAGGAATCAGTGCTGTATCCTGTGTGGAGGAGCAAGCTGAATGTCATCACTGGCAGAAGTCGGCAGAACTGGCAGCAGGCAGGCTGGTAGTTAGCATGGAGATCACGAAGTCTGCTTTCCCTGCCTGCTCTGGGAGAAAAGACAAGAACAGCTCAGAAATGCTGCTGTCATTGCTCCCCTGGAAGGAAAGACCGGAAGGAGTGAGGGTGTTCCAAATGTGAGGCAGACAGCACCGAGCACTGGAGCTGCAGCTGTACCTGCTCCAAGGCAGCAGAGCTCCTGTCACACGGTGTCTGCAGGACTGCTCAGCTGCAGCTGCAGCAGAGCAACAGCACAGCACCGAGAGACACGCTGCTCCTGCACACTTCTGCCTGGCTATGGCTCACTGGGGTGAGTAGAAGGAAAGCATTGGTATAAGAGAAAGTCTGGGATTAATTTCCAAAGGGAATTGCTATTCCCTCCAATAAATCTTACTGCATGCAGGTTAGTTTCTGGAAACTAACCATTTTTTACCTGTTGTACATGGTGTTACAGGGGTTAAATTGCTTCTATTACAGATGTTTGGTTTTTTTATCAACCCTCTATATAACAGAGATATATTATCTGTTGTGAAGATATTTACCATCATTTATGGTCTTTCTTTGTTTTTGTTTTTCGTTTTTTCTTGAGAGAAGTCTTGGTATATTTCGTGGGGTCATATCAACAATTCTGTGCAGGGCACAACAGGAGAAACAAGTATTCAGGCTTAGCCAGACATTACAACCTACACAACCTTGCTTACAAAAATCACTTTATATAAATTAAAACTACTACATATAACTTGTATTCCATAATTTATTTAATTTTTAATGCTTCAATAGTAACTAAAGACCCTTACATACATAAAATGAATATATAAATTATTATTGAATTAATATTTTGATTGATAAAGTTTCTCTTTACAAATGAAGGCAAAGGTTTCACCAAGATGTTTTGTGGTTTATATTTGAGACTGCTTGATTAGACATAATCAAGAATAAATGCAACTGGACACAAAATCCTGTGGCAACATTTAAAGACAGGTCAGGAAGAAAAGTTTTAAGTCTCAATGTGGAACATTGACTGGGGTTTAGAGAAGTCAGGCTAGGTGCAGACTCTATTATTATTAGTTATGTCCTTTCCAGACTAAACATGACTTGAGCTCTGGTCTCAAAAGGAAAATCAAGGTGAAAGTGATAAAAATAATACAAATTTTTGTCTTCCAAATCTATTTAATTTATATTTCTCCTTTCAAGATAAACTTACAATGATTTTTCAATCAAATTTGATCAAGTAAAAAAAATTTTTGGTTTTCACTGGTTTTGAAGTTATATTTTGGTTATATTTTCACTGTCTCTTGCTGAATGCTTTCCTTTTTCTTTTCTTGAGAATTAAAAAAAAAAAAGGAAAAAGAGAAAAAAATCAGAAGCATTTGATATAAGAGGCAGATCACTAATAAGACCTATAGCTAGCATACCCTGAGTTAAGTAGAATGTGAAAACTAAAAAAAAGGCAAGAAAAATATAATTTGAGAATGATTTTTAAAAAACAATTGGTTTTGTATTTGAAATCAGTAACTATTTTTCCAATCTTCAGAAAATAACATTAACAATACCTTGGTGCATTTATCTTTTCACATATTGGTTTAGAATGTTAATGAGGAGTACCTGTTAAAACTTTACATAATTTGTATGTACCAACCTCTACTTTTGGTGTGCTTCAAGTGTTAAATAAGAGTGCTTGCTTTAGAAAAATCTGTTTGCATATTTGGCTTGGGTTAATCAAGAGTTGACAATATCACGACCTGTGTTAGGCTTTGGAAACATAAAGGGCAGTTTAATTAAGGTGCAAAACCAGCAATTCAGTTGGGCACAGCACTCCAAACAGCAAAGCAGGCAAAGTACCCACCTAAAGCAAGCTCAGGTGCCTCCACAGCCATGGCACTGGACAGGACAGTCCAGCTAGAGATAACCAAATGTTAACTGCATCAGGTAGAAAAATAAAGAAATTTCATTAATAACTGCAGGTTACCCAACCCAATCCACAGAAATTGAGTAGAAAAGGCTAAAATCCACAGAATGGAGTAGAAAAGGCTACCTAAATGAACAGAATGCGAATTTGGCTGGCAGCATTGCAAAGGCAATATACAGTTTGCTTGATGTTGCAGTTCAGGCAAACTTGTCTAAGTTTGATCAAGCTGATCCATCTTTGGGCTAAACAATGAATCAGATATTCCTTCAAAGTTTTCCAGTCTTATTTTCTGTGATATTTCCTTTAACTGTGTATCCAACCAGAGAACAACCTCATTACAGTCTGTTCTCATGAGGATAAGTAAATTCAGTGTAATAGTTTGCAAACATTAAGTTTTGTCATTCAACATACACCTGAGTGCTATAGCTTTTGTCTGGAGTATAAATCTGTTTACTTCTCTCAGGTAGTAGCCAAATTGCTCTTCCATTGAGCCACAGTACTTTCCAGGTTACAGTAACTCCTACAAGCATTTTTCCTTGGGTTTAATCTGCTGGCAAGTCAAGACTATCAAAACACAAATTGATACAGAAATTGCTGACACATAGGACTTTCAGCAAAACACTCTTTCAGAGCCAGCTGCACTGGTAATGTGAGTATTAATGTCTAATACTTCACAATGGTAAGAAAATAAGTCAAGTTTATATAATACTCAACTAGCAAATTAATTATTCTGATGCCTCAGAGATAGATGGTCAAAGTAAATACAGTAAATGCAGTTTGAAAAAATCCTTTTAAAAACTGCAGTCTTTTAAAAAATACTGCAGAAAAATCTGCCGATTGAAAAAGAAGAATGGGCTAGACAACTCCTCATGAGGATGGAGCTGAAAATATGAATGTTTGGGGGCTTAATGTGAGGAACAATCTAAACACTTGCTACACACGTTACAAAGATAATGCTAGTCATTATTACAGAAGACTGTAAGCCTATGAAACAAATCCTGGAATTGTTCTTTTATGGACAATACGGCAATAGAGGTTTGCAGTGCTTGTCACTAGATTGCCCTTGCTGAATTTATTTCCATAAGGTCCTTTGTATTCCATGCTGAAATGAAGGAAGCAGTATCTCATAGACCTTACTCCTGCCAACAACCTTGAGTAAACAGGACAATTTTTTTTAGACACCTTGCTCTTAAGATGCCTTGCACATAAATAAATCATTGCTTGAGGTTTGCTCATACTAATATAGATTCCATTTGGGATCTGCTGAAACATTAAAATGCTCTGGTATCAGTGACTGGAGAGACAACTACAATATCTTGTGGTGAAGGTTTTTGGTGTTTTTTCCATCCTCCTAGGTGACCTTTCTTTCTTTTCTCAAAATAATTTATTACTTGTGTTCCTGAACAACCTGCACAAATGAGTCATGCTGAAATGTGTAAACAATGGCTCAAAGATGTCAAAAAATATGCTCCTGCATTTAGACCCGATTTCACATAGACCTATAAATGGAGGAGGAGGGGGATTCCTTACAGGTGTCCTTTACCCAAGTCTCTCTGAAGACTTTGGCCATTTCTCTGTATGGGCGAATTCTGTAAGCAAAACCTATAACACAGACCTCCTTTTTGAAAGAGTTAGCAAAAACTCTTGATTTCTTTCTTCAAATATTATTTAGCAGCCCAAGACCTCAATTTACTCTGCATATATTCTTTTATTATTTGACCACTGGAGAACTGTCAAAGAGGAATGTTTTTCTCTTTTATTTGACTAAACTTCCTGCAATCTGACTAATGCCAATATTCAAATAGACAGAAGAACATCTCTAAATACCATTTTGTCCTTAAATGATACCTTACCAAACTTTCAACTGAATTAAACAGCATTTTAAAAAGAGGTCATATTTCCAAACAAATTGTACCATTTAGATGTTAAGATGTCAATATTTTCAAACCTCTTTTCCTTAGCATTTGACAATATTTAGTATCCTACTTATTTACAAGAAGGCCCCTGATTTTCGTCCAAAACATGAAGCATTCCAATCATGAAAGACGAACACTGAATTCTTGAATTCAGTGGATACTCCTCAGATGGGCATCACTAATTTTGTGCTCACATGCAATTTCTGATATTTAACAATATAAATTATCCTATAACATAACTGAAAAATTATAATCCAATTAAGCATAAAAACCTTCTACAATTAAACTATGAACATTAAATAGGTCAAGGTCACAGTAATCTGAATATTCATGGGCTGTTCTTTCATTTCTCTTTGACATCTCTTCCTTTACAGTAAAACTAGCTATGATAGTCCTTTAAATTCCTTTTCAAGATTCTTTGTAAGATTTATAGGGTTGCCTATTATACCTCTGAGAGTGCCTATAAACTGATTTCCCAAGTGACTATTTTTGTACTTATCTCATAAAAAAACCATCTGCTGTTTTGCATATTAATACTAAAAGAGAATGGCAAAAATAGGAGGAAAGAAAAAAGTTGAAAAATGAAAAAGCAGTTAATTAACCATTCAATAAATATGCCTATTTATTTTGAGTAAATGAATGATTTTTATCAACTGAAAATAATTAGTACTGGCAGGCTTTTCTGTTGGATTTTCTTGTGTCACTGATTCCAGGATGTTGAATTTAGATTTTAATTATTTTTAGCATCTCCCTAAACTAGCTTTTATGAGCCTAAGAGCGAGAAAGGAACCACACTTAGTTTTGGAGATTAAGTTGTCAGTCATCCATCAGAACATTTCTAGAAATTGTAGTGGTAATACCTTAAACTCCAAGCCATGAGTTATTGATGCCTAAGAACAGTATCAGGCAAAGCAGATTTATGGTTCAGCATAATAAATGTACCATTAGCACTAAAAGCAATAAGGTGCCTCATTTTTTCTTCTTTTTTTCTCCCCCCCAAACTCTGCCTAAATAGCCACCAGAATGCACCATTTGTGATATTGATTTAACAGATGCAGAACTGGCTAATACAAAATCCTGAAGGACCTACTACAGCAAACATGTTCACAAGACTGGTTATCCCCTCTAGCAACACATGAAGATACAATCAGTACTCACTTTTAGCTAAAAGGCATAAATTCATTACTTCAATTTCATTCTGGATCCAAGTACCCTATTTTTGTCTTTCTTTTATTGACACGGGCCCAGACCAGTCAAACAAACTACTTTACTTTCATTAAGTTTTAATGTCCTTTCCAGTCCTTGAAGTATCTGTATTTTGGGGAAGAAAACAAAAATAATTCAGATATAAGTCTTTAAATAGTTCTTGTACTTTGCTTTTTCACATTTTTTAGAAAT